ACTTTGTCTAACTTCAAACGGTCATAAGTCCGAGAACCGGTTAGATGTCACTTTCTCCGTGCCGTTGTAACTTCGGGGGGGGGGGGGGGCTAAACAAATTGGTTATAAGCCGAGGACTGCTCCTAATCGGCTGTCGCTAAACGTAACGTGGATGTCTTTCTCCTAGGAAAAAAACGAAGCCGCGTGCGGCGAATCCTGGCCCGCAGAGTCCGAGCAAGAACAAGCAGCTGTTGCAGCTGTCCCGTGAGTCTCCCCCTCCCCTTCAGGGCGGGTTTGGGGGGGGTCTTCCACCCCCACCCACCCCCCTTTTATTAACCTCCTCCCCGCACTGCTGCCCCCTACAGGCCTCTCCAAGAGCCTGGAGTCCATTTCCGAGTGCTCCCTCCTGCGGCTCAAACCGAAGTTCCCCCCTTTCCGGATGGACGGACCCAATAGGGCCGCCCAGCGCCGGTTTAGCGACCTCCCCACCCCACAGCCAGACAGCCGCAGCCCCAAGCCGGCCAGCCGCATCCCGAACCCGGCACTCCCTTCCTGGGCGCTGCCCAAGGCGGAGGCCACGGGGGCCAAAGAGAAGGACCAGCGGGGGGGCCGCGCGGGGGCCCCCAAAGGCGCCGCGGGGCCACTCCCTCCCGGCGGGCAGAGGCTGACCATGGGCGAGATCGAGAGGAAGATCAAGGAGGTAAGATGCCCGCGGCGTCAACGGGGGGCACCCTGAGGGCATCCATCCGGGCCTCAACCTCCACGTCTGGATGTGGGCTACCGGGGGGGGGGGCAATTTCCCCAGGGAGGGATTGGCGGCGGACGGAACAGCTTCCAATAAGATTCCCACGCTCAGCGGCGGGAGTGGTTGGCCTCGATTCCGGTCGTAAGTTCGAGGACCACCCATAGGAAACGGATCCTTTCTTCCAATGTATCCGATTTCTATCTTCCTTCCCCAAATCCGCCTGGGAGGGAAGCTCAGGTCCCTCGTCCTGCTGAACTGGGTTCAGAGATGGGTTTTGTAGTCCCAGAGACGTGGCATCGGAAGGACTTGCCCAGCGTTGAAGGGGGAGGAGGCTCCTGGGCTCACGAGGGGCAGCCCCTTCCCCATTTGGCAACTATTCCTTCTTCTGAGAGACCCCTCCCCCAAAGCAAAGGGGTTTTGGGGGGTGAGCCGCCCCGGGACCCTCGGCTGACGCTGCCCCCTTGTGTCCTCCCCCCCCCCCACAGGTGGAGGAGAGGGTCCACGGAGTGACCACGGAAGAGTGCCTGGAGGCGCTGCGGATGAATGGCTGGGAGCTCCCCAAAACCATCCAGCTGTTGAAGGTGGGCGCCTGGTGGGGATTTTGGGGAGGGGGTCCTTCCACGCCCAGCGGTGGCTTTATGGGAGGGTGAGGAGGGGAGGAGGGAGAGGTGGCAACCCGGATTGGGTTGGGGTCCTTCTTCATATCATCCTTTCTTTCCTTCGTCCCTTCCTTCTTTCCTCCCTCGTCCTTCCTTCCNGAATCTCAGATTACCGCAGCAGGCTTGGGAGGGGTGCACCTCATTGGGGAATGTGATTTATGACACAGACTGAGGGGAGGGGGGGGAACAGGGGCAAAGTTCACCTATGATTCAAATGACGCTCAGAACTGACTGCATTGAGGCTGAATAAAGGACTGGTTTTCCTTTGAAACTTGGCTCGAGACTCATGAATCAATTCGGGCATTTTTTGGAAACCTTGACGACATTTATTAAGCCAATTGGGGCGGTTGTTAAATGAATCAGCCGGTTGTGAAGCAAACCGGCCTTCCCCCATGGATTCTCGCCTTTCAGAAGGGCCGTCGTAAAAGGGAATCACGTGACCCGGGATGCTGCGACCGTCACAAATGTGAGTCAGTTGTCAAGCGTCTGATTTTTGATTCCCGTGGCTGCAACAGTCGTTAAGTGTGAAAGACGGTTGTACGTCACTTTTTTCAGAGCCGTTGTAACTTTGAATGGTCACTAAGTGAACGGTCGTAAGCCGCGGACTACCTGTACAAGTGGTCCTCGACTTACAACTACGATTGAGCCCCCAATTTCTGTTGCTAAGGGAGAGAATCAAGTGAGTTTTGCCCCATTTTACCACCTTTCTCGCCACAGTTATTAAGCGAATCACCGCCGTGGGTAAGCTAGTTACACGGTTGTTAAGTGAATCGTTGCTTCCATGAAGGTCGCAAAAGACGTGATGGGACTGCAACCGTCATAAATACGAGTCAGTCGCCAAGCGTGTGTATTTTGATCACGTCACCCTGGGGATGCAGCAACGGTCGTAAGTTTGAAAAACGGCCATAAAAGTCCCTTTTCCGGTGCCATCGGGACTTCAATCCGTCGCTAAATGAACTGTTGTTAGTTGAGGACTCCCTGTGAGATCCAGAACCCTTTTTTTTCACTCCAGCAATTCCACTCTGAGGATTAAAGGCAGTCCTCGATGTACGACGATTCACTTAGTGACCATTCAAAATTGTGATGGCACTGACATAGTGACTGAGGATCATTTTTCAGATTTACGACCGCTACAACGTCTCCATGGTCACGTGATTTACATTCCGTGCTTGACCACTGACTCACATTTATGACGGTCGTAGCATCCTGGGGTCACGTGATCCCTTTTGCGACCGTCCGACCACGAGGAAAGCCCCATCCCTTTAACAACCGCCTGGCTAGCTCAACCACCGTGGCGGTTCATTTAACAACGGTGTCAAGAAAGGTTGCAAAACGGGGCAAAAGCTTACTTGGCTCTCTCCCCCTCAGCAATCGAAGCTGGGGTCTCAACTGTGGACGTAAATCGAGGACTCCTCCACTTAAGGACCACGCCACTCAGTTGAACCCCCGCAAGGAGATTCACTTTGAAAATGGGTCACTGAAAAGTCGCTGAAGAAATGTCCCACTTAGCGACATATATTGGGGGGCCCGTTTTGGTCGTAAATCGAGGACTGGCTGTATCATCCTTGAATTTTGCTTTTTTGCGCTTTGCCCATTTTATTTGGCCTCGGCATCATTAAACCCCCCCCTTCTGCCCTCCCCAGGTAAGCTGGGGGTGGGGGCATCCCTCCAAAGCCCACCAGGTGAATGACCCCACCCCCTTTGCTGCCCCT